TGTCGGCTGCCTCTTTCCATATGAGTGGTCTGTCTGTGCATGCATGTGAGCAATGTTAGTAACACAGCCTGAACCTGCCCTTCTCCCAGTCCAATCCTTGGACCCCCTCTCCACGCCCATCACCGATTGCCATGGGGCAGTTGTGGCGGTGCTGTCTTGGCTCGCCGGAGTTCAACCCCGGTTGTGCGACCGTCGGTGTGATTCATGATTTGGCAGCCAGTCGGCGGCTGCAGGTCCCGCGATACTGTCGCACAGGGCAGCAAGCACGTAGCACGCGCTGGCGGTACCCGCATTGTTCATTCGGATATGACACAGAAGATATAGCCGATCAACCAAGCCAAAAGGAATAAGGTGGGTAAATTTGTTGTTACCTGGTTGTTTTGCGTGATAAATGGCGAACAAATGGAGCAAAAAAAAAACAGAGCAAAAAAAAACAGTAAGCATTTTTGGCAATTGTAGTGTGCATACAAGTACAATGCGCAGAGATGCATGTTTTGCCGCAAAGCACGGTTGTTTGCCGTGGGGCCTGATGCGTCGGTATAGACGGTTGTCATGCAACGTGATCTGCAACTTGCATAGTGCCCTGCTCGGAAAATTCGGACAGTAACAAAAGCAGATGAAGATGCCTATCATGAGTGTTGTTATGACATTCATTGACGGAGATGGAAGATGGAAGGAGGCGTGAAATCCCCGGAGGCGTGAAGGCCCCCGTACGGTAGTAATGATTTAAAGTAGGGAAGGGGGTATTATCCAAATCATAGCGGCTAAGATTTTGAAAAAGTGGTAAAGTCCTCGCATTTTATGTCCAAAGATGAGAGTCGATTTATTACCTTTGGTTATTTATCGTTCTCTTGGAGATCAACTGGGATGGCAAGTTTTTTTTTTTTATGTCTTGACCACCTGACTTCCAAAAAAAAATATCAGGGAACTGGACAAAAGGGACTCCCAGATCGACGAAATTGCAGGAGGTTACGGAGCAGTGCAAGTGGAGGAGAGGGAGGGAGAAGAGGGTAAAGGAAATATTTATGAGTGAAAACAGACAAGAGGATAGGTCTGTTTACGGCAGAGCCTGTGCACGAATGTGGAGGGAGGAGGGAAAAGTGAAAAAAGGACAACGAATATTTAAGCCCGGTGCCTCCAAATATCATTTGCTCTGGGCCATGGCTTTGCCATTGCCGAACTCCTCATCGTAAAAGCCGGCGGCGGCGTCAGCGGCGATGGCAGCGGCGGCCGACGACGTCTTTGCGTTGGCATAGTCCTCGGCGAACTCGTCCAGAAAGCGCCAGTCGGGCAAGAAGTACAGGAACACGCAGAGTACCTCCGGCGCGTACGTCAGGCCCATGACGAAACCTTGTCCGTTCAGGTTGTTGGGGTTGAACCGCTCGTAAATGGCGTAGGCCGCTTTGACCGTCAGGAGCGCCGCCTGCACCGCCAGGATGGCCACGGCGTGCGGGCGCGCCGCGAGGACGGGTGCCGAGAAGACCGAAAGGAGGGGCGCCGCGCTCAGTGCGAGCATCAGGTACGACGCCACGTAGCGCGCGTTCGTCTTGCTAGTGCTGACGTCGGTGTAGTCGGCGGCGTAGATGACCAGCGCCACCGTCACCAGTAGCGCCAGGTCCATGATGCGGATGATTCGAAGGCGGATGGTTTCAGAAACGGTCCTCATGCTGCCAATCAACACAGGAGGAGAAAGAGTGGGGGTGGGGTGAGGAGTAAAATGCTTAGATATAATTGCGATTGCAATGCTGCACCCCCGTCACTGTGCTGAAGTTCAACTCACCATCCGGCAAAGTGGCGTATGTTGATACGCACGATAATCAGCGTTGCGATGGTCAGCACCACCTGGGCCGCCACCACCAGCGCCAAGGTGGTGCCATTGTCTCCCGCCGTGGCAGCAGCCCGTAGTGCGAACCCGAGCAACCGGACCATGGACCACTCGATCAGCGCAAACAGCGTCTGTCGCACCACCAGCGCAGGCACTGGCGGCGCACCCTTGAGCGCGTTGCCGTAGCCCCAGCAAGTGCGCCGCTTGTCACCGCGCGGCGGGAGGGGCGGAGGCGCCGGCTTGGGGGTCAGCAGCAGCTTTGCGACAGCGACTCCGCCCAGCGGCAAGTAGGTTGCGGCGGCCCACGCCAGTGGCAGCGCCAGCGAAGTCCAGCCCACATAGGTTGCATAGTTGATGGACGACGACGTCATGATTTTTTTTTGGAGGAGTAGGCTGGCGGTAAAAAGAGGGTGGGTGGAGGAGGGGAAGGTATGGATGGAGAACGGTGTACTTCAATTCTAGCTGGCCTTCAATTTATACAGCTGAAACAGCTGATGCTGCTGCCACACACACACACACACACACACACTCTCTCTCTCTCTCTCTCTCTCTCTCTCTCACGCAGAAGACAGGCACACACACGCCCTCCCACGCTACTGGGATGGGGCAGTGGTGGCTGTGCTCGCTTGACCGCCCGGAGTTCGACTCCGGTTGTGCGACCGTCGGAATGATGGTGTGAGGGAATTATAGTTGAGAGCACCGTGACTTGTTATATAGTGATGACATTCTATTAAGGTTCTTTTAGGGGAAAGAGATATGGGGGGTTATATCGTGTAAGGGAAATTATTTGAGGTCTCAGAAGGATAGAATGTGGGAAAGGAAGGAGGAAGTAGAAGAAAATGTAAGGAAAGAAACAGATGGCTGAGCTCACGGTAATACTGCCACAGGTGAGGTGTGCTACTTCTTCAAGTAGCCAGTCGGCGACAACCGAGCACGCGACACTGTAGCACAGGGCAGACAGCACGTAGCACGCTTGGTGGCGGTGCGCGCATTGTTCATTCGGATGGACGCAGATGACATCGCCGATCAACCAACCGATCGTCAAGCCAAAAAAAAAAAAAAAGGTGGCTTAAATTTGTTGCTATTTGGTTGCTTTGGGTGAAAAATGGTGCGGTGGGGTTTTGAAGAAATACAGATGATTGACGGAATCGACAACGGTGAACAATTGGAGCGAAATAACTACTGCAGGCATTTTTGGCAATTGCCGAGATGCATGCCATGGCGCAAAGCAATGTTGTGTGCGCTGGTCCCTGATGTGTCCGGTGTACCCGATCGGCTAAACTTACCTGCCAGTGGCATAATATAGACGGTTGTTATGCAATGTGATCTGCGACTTGCGTCCTTGTAGTCAGTGCTCCGCTGGGAAAATTCGGAGAGAAACAAAAGTGTATGAAGAAGCCTATTATGAGTGTTGGTTGTTAAGACATTTATTGACAGAGATGGATGGAAGGTAGGGGGTAAAGCTCCAAAAGTGGAAAAATGAAGTTGTTGGTATGAAAATAATGTCAGGTCTATCCCGGATTCGAACCGGGGTTGCGGGAATCAAAATCCCGAGTGCTAACCACTACACTAATAGACCTGTGAGGAGAATAATTCTGTAGACAATATAATCACAATCACATTATTCTCAACTGCGAATTCCGCTTTGTGCTCCTTCTTTTGGCCCCACGTCTTGTTCAACGCGTCGACCAAACTTCACCAACACACCTCCGTTCCCCGACCTCTCACTAGCCCTCCACCCCCCCACTCTTCTACC